GAAAAGGAAACAGCAAAGAACATAAGCCACGTAGAGCGGCTGAAGCAGCTTGTTCAGCATCTTGATCTCGCTTATCGCCTAGAATGGGCCAGTGAACGCAAAGTAGTTCTAACCAGACACAGTGTTGAGTTGGGCACTTGCCTGTTGTGACAGCCAATGTAAGAATTCAGAAAAATCACAACCCATGTACCTCATTTTGCTCGAGAGTTTTGTGTTGCAGCTTTCCAAGAATAGCGAAAGACTCATTTTGTTGAGTTCATGTATGAGTTCCTTAGGAACTATCCGGAGAATGAGAAGTTTTTTTGTTCGTGTGTCTGAGAACAAGAATGTTTTTTTTTCTCTTTGTATATGAAAATATATATAAATATAAACCCGAGAAATTGATTGTTATAGATAAATTATCCAATTTCCGGGCAGAAGAACAACGACAGGAAGATTTTAGAAACGACAAAGAGTGTTTGCTTTTTCACATTTCAGGGTTAGAATTGATATCGACAACGCTTTTAAGTAATTTTGTTTGGTGGTTTTGTATGGTTACAATATTTAAATATTCACTTCGTGTCAGGAAAAAAAAAACAAAAGAGATAATAAAAACTGAGGTGTAGGTCATGAGATATATGCAATAGGATTGCGGCAGCGGCAGACACAGGTATAAATGTTCGTTTAGTTGACGCAAGTACCTACAGTATAATATATTTAAATTATATTTTGTTGATTCAAAATATAATTATATAAATTTATAAAAATAAAATAAGAATTAAGTATAAAATTATCGCAGCGTCAGAGAATCGAATACAAAAGTATAATACAAAAATATATGGCAGTGAGCCAGCGACAGCAATATCGAAACAAATACAAAACCTGCAGCAGTGGTGGTGGTGGCGAAACGAACAACAACATGCGGTAATGTTTGCTGTCGTCGCTACCTCCACCGCCCGTGGCAACAAAACGAACAAGCTCAATGATGATGTATATTTGTAAAATGGTTTTATGGAAATGAATTTTATGCATTTGATATGATCATATGAAATACATTTTGCACATAACAGTTAGTTTGAAAGTCTCAATGCACTCCTTAATACAAGCTCTAGAAATTTTGACTTATACCAAAAAAAAATGACTTTACAATCATATTCTACACTGCTCAATATTTGCATGGGTATTAGCAACGTGGCATTTTGGATTGATACGTATAAGAAAATAGGTTGAATGATATAAATGACTTTGAAGATAGTATAAATTTTTGAAACACTTGAAAAAGGTTTTTCTGAGGTATTGAATGATTCCTAATTTGACGGCATTTAAAAATGTGTTCTATTTAAGTTTTCTGATTTATTTTATCATCAAAACATATGATAAATATGGTATAAACTTATGTCAAATTTGGCGTGTTTGGTCGACAAGGCGAATCAGGCAATTTTTCTGCATATTCTTCTTTTGAAAGAAGTTTAACTTTCCACTAAAAAATATTCAGTCTCTCTACATATATATAGTCAATTAGATGTTTTGTAACGTTGGTCAGATGGAAAAAAAAACAATGTTGGTAACTAATATTTTCATAAACTCTAATTCCCCAAAATATTCGTTTCTCATAAGAAAAATCAACTGATTACTAATAGCAATATTTATATACGGTTTTGGAAAAATCTGGAAAAATCAACTGATTACTAACCGTATTAAGCATGTAATTCTTCTGATCATGCAATAGAATGCCCAACTATTTTTATGACTTTTAACAATATATATATATATATATTGAATTGTTATTTAAAAATATGTTCTTAAATCTGGTCTAAAACAACGATTACAAACAACAAAGTACAAATAACACTTTTATAAAACTTACAAATGTCGTTAAATTTGATGGGAATTATTTTATTTAGCTAACTATATTGGATAATTTTATAACAAACTATAAATGATATGTGAGTTTAAAAACAAAAAATGGAATTGGTAATGAAATTTAAAATATGTTGGCCTTTAATATCATATTATGTATATTAATTTTGTATTTCATAAAATTAGAAAATATGGCACATGGTTTCATTTTATATATACTATTGTTTCATTTTATATATCTTATTATATTAGGAGGTAAAATTGACCAAATTTATTTCTCATCTTCGATATGAATAAGGTTGAATGCTCTCATTGTTCACTATAGTTGGCTCTTGTAAACGATTTATAATTAGATAATTAAAATATCCAAATTTTATAAGATTTAGAGACGTAATAAGTTTCCTTAACCTTCAACTTGAAAATAATAATTGCTTATCTGATTTTTTTTTATAGATTCTAGAGGTTAGTATGAGGGTTCATAATTTCGGATATCTTAAAAAAAAAAAAACCCCAATTTTATATTTGTCATTTCTTAAGATTTAGAAACACAATTTTAGAGATTATGCTTGGGTTTTTTAATTTCCAATTTTGTATAAGGTGTAAGCTTTAGGGTTTAGTATTTATTTCAAAAAAGAATTCTCAAATGTTAAGTTTTTAAAATGGCAAAAAAGTCACAATCTACAAAGCCATTAAACAAATGACATTTTCAAAAGATTTTGATGGAAAAGAACATAATCAACAATAATCTCTAAAGACAATATTGAAATTATTGTTTGACTTTTAGACTATAAATCACGATGAATGACTGTACCAACCAATAGAGATTCACAGAAAATGTATTTTTCCTGGTCAAATGAAAAAATCTATTTTCAAATAAAAAAAATGAGATGAGTTTATCAATAAAAGTAAAACTAGACACAAAAGTCTGTTATTCATCGACAAGTTGTTAGCTAAATAGAGTTGATTTGCTACTATGTCAACTAAAAACGTTGACACCACACCATATGTTCTTTTTAGTTCTGACTTTGCTATCAAATTAAGCAAATCCGCAGAAACTAGACTAACTTAACAATTTTCATTGATATATATCGATCTGATAAAAAATCTTTAAAACATATTTTTATTAAATTAAGATTAAAAACAAGAATATTTTAAATTCAGTTTAATCTGAAAACCTGAAGAAACAAAAATTAAAACAACAAAAAAACTAAGAAAATAAAAATAATAGTAGTAACTGAACAAAGAAATATTAGTATAAATTTTTTGTTTAAGAAGAGAAAAAAGAAATATCAAGCAGGTAGAATTCTTTTGGTTCTAAGCTTGTTCATGAAGATAGAAAGGCTAACTTGGGAGCCTTGCTCATTGTCCGTACTGTCACAAGTGAGGATCGTAGTTAATCATACGTAGCACAAGGCTATTTTTTTTTGTTACAAGAAGTGTTCACTAATGATAGTTATGTTGCTTAATTGTAATGCTTTTTTTATCTTTATTGGTGATCGTCTTTGATCCTTTTGTAAGGTTTATACCAAAACAGTTACATCGTTCTAATGAAATATTCAGATGAAAAGAAAAGAAAAAAAAAAAAAAAAAAAAGTAACAAGTCTAGAAAACAAAAGTCGTTGAGATGGTTGGTCAAAGTGAAGGCTTCAAAAATCATCCTTTATAACAGTTTTTGATTTTGACTAGAAAAATCTTTGTGGAATGTTACTGGTCTTTATGGCTGCCAAAATTGCATTTATTTCATTAAGTGGTCCAATGTCTGCCACTATCATTGTTACTGATTCTAGCTTTTATGCAATAAGAAGATTTTGAACCATATAATATTCGCATTAATATAAAAGCATTCTAAAAATGTAGACACAAAATTTATTAAATGCAAAAGCTTACACTTATTCATTTTTAGCTTATTCTAAAGCTGTCAAGTGATTAGCATTAATTATATTGTTAATGAATACTAATATAGAGGGGGAAAAAAAATATATATAGAGGGGAAAACAAGTGAATGGCGTTGAGGTATCAATACGTGGTTGAGTGCATTATTGAAGAGAAGGTGGAGATCTCAACCTTCTCCAATGAGTTATATCCTAAATAATTTGGATTCTGTTTTTTAGAATTTTTTACATAAATTGAGACTCCTATAATAAGTTTTAAAATCAAAAGCAAGAACATTCCTAATATTAATGTCTTATTAGAAGGGGCACACTTCAACTGTTCCGACCTCTAATTCTTGTTTATGTCGACATGATGTCTGCACTGATATCAGTATTTTTCAATAAACTCTAATTCTTTAAAACAAGGTATTGGTAATATAGGGAAAACTACCAATTCCTATACGAATTCTTTGTCATTGTGACGATATAAAGATGACCTAATTAGCCTGCCAAAACTTACACAAACAAATAATATTATAATTGATTCTTACGTAAATTAAAAAATGGACCAAATTAGTATTATTTTATGTGTAATATAAGAAAAATATTTTTTAAAATATGGACTTCTTTGTTTTTTCAACGAAATTATATATATAAAAATTTGATATATTTGGTCCTCCTAAAATAAGATATTTACAACCGCATGTTCCAAAATTTGAACATATATCTCAAAAAAAAATTTGGAAACAAAATATATTATTTATAAAATAAAAGACAATGAAAATTCCGAGTTCTTGTTTAGCAAAACTATCAAATATGAAGTTGTGCGTTCGTTAAGAGCTTGATTTTATTATTATTACTATTTCAATCAAAAGGTTTTCTTATGTTTTCTGACGAAAAATATGTTGTTCTATTTGTCAACAATAAAAATGAATTCCGGTCTAATTTTTTCCATTGAATACAAAATTTTAACAGATTCTGATCTTGTAAAATTCAAGTTGATGTCTCATTTTCAAATATTGAAATTGGACTTAATGTTATGTACTCACAGGTCCCCCACAATGATCATTCTTTTTCACAAATTTGGTTCAAATCCACCAAAAAAAACAATTCAGACTTTAGGGAAGTCAAACAAAATTATACAAAACATTAAGGACTATTTTGCAATTTCTAGTTTTTTAGTTCTTTCATGGAACTTTCTCTGATAATCTTCTACAACGCTACTCACTCGGTGTTTACACCTGAAACCAAACCTCTATATATATAGAACACAATCTCACTTCCCAACACATCAAACCATAACTTCCAAATCTAAACAGAACCAAAAAATAACATAAACAAAGAAGAAACAAAAATGGTGTCCTTTGCAACAGAGAAGAAACAAGATCGGAATCTATTGTCAAGAATCGCCTCCGGTGACGGTCACGGCGAGAATTCATCTTATTTCGATGGTTGGAAAGCTTATGAAGAAAACCCATTTCACCCAATTGATAGACCTGACGGAGTTATTCAAATGGGTCTCGCTGAAAATCAGGTAATTAAAAATAAAAATCCAACTTTTTTTTTTTTGTCTCTCTCTGTTTCTATAACCTAAAAATCTAATCTTTAGGTTTTTTTTTTTCTTTCTGAATTGTGTAGCTTTGTGGAGATTTGATGCGTAAATGGGTTTTAAAACATCCAGAAGCTTCGATTTGTACATCAGAAGGTGTGAATCGATTCAGTGACATTGCAATTTTTCAAGATTATCATGGCTTGCCTGAATTCAGACAAGTAAGTAAACTGTTGCCTGAACGCAGACAATTTCATCACTTTTGGTTTGATTTTGTTTCAAAGGTTTTAACTTTATTGTTTAATTCTTCAGGCAGTAGCGAAATTTATGGAGAAGACAAGAAATAACAAAGTTAGGTTTGATCCTGACCGGATTGTTATGAGCGGCGGCGCAACCGGAGCACACGAGACGGTTGCTTTCTGTTTAGCTAATCCCGGTGATGGTTTCTTAGTTCCGACTCCTTATTATCCAGGGTATGTTCAAAGATCATCAAATTGGTCACTGAATCACATTAGAGTTTGGTTTAATCTGGTTTTGGTTATCTAAAATTTGGTTTGGTTTGTTTGGATTCAGGTTTGATAGAGATTTGAGATGGAGAACCGGAGTGAATCTTGTACCGGTTACTTGTCATAGCTCTGATGGGTTTAAGATTACGGTGGAAGCCTTGGAAGCTGCGTATGAAAATGCGAGGAAATCGAATATTTCGGTTAAGGGTTTACTTGTAACTAATCCTTCGAATCCGCTTGGTACGACGTTAGACCGGGAATGCTTGAAGTCTCTTGTTAACTTTACTAATGACAAAGGGATTCATCTTATTGCTGATGAGATTTATGCTGCTACTACTTTTGGTCAATCCGAGTTTATAAGCGTTGCGGAAGTGATCGAGGAGATCGAGGATTGTAACCGCGATTTGATCCATATTGTGTATAGTCTATCTAAAGATATGGGCTTGCCTGGTTTAAGAGTTGGTATAGTATACTCTTACAATGACCGGGTTGTTCAGATCGCAAGGAAAATGTCGAGTTTCGGTCTGGTTTCATCTCAAACGCAGCATTTGATTGCTAAAATGTTATCCGACGAAGACTTTGTAGACGAGTTCATCCGCGAGAGCAAATTGCGGTTAGCTGCAAGGCACGCGGAGATAACCACCGGTTTAGATGGTTTAGGCATTGGTTGGTTAAAGGCCAAAGCCGGTTTGTTCTTGTGGATGGATTTAAGAAATCTTTTGAAGACAGCTACATTCGATTCGGAAACCGAGCTATGGCGCGTAATTGTCCACCAAGTGAAGTTGAATGTGTCTCCAGGCGGTTCGTTCCATTGCCACGAACCAGGATGGTTTAGAGTATGTTTTGCAAATATGGACCATAAGACGATGGAGACGGCTCTAGAGAGGATTAGAGTGTTCACAAGCCAACTCGAGGAGGAGACCAAACCGATGGTTTCAACAACAATGATGGCTAAGAAGAAGAAGTGTTGGCAGAGTAACCTCCGGTTAAGCTTTAGCGACACAAGGCGGTTCGATGATGGCTTCTTCTCGCCTCATTCACCGGTGCCGCCTTCTCCGCTAGTCCGTGCACAGACTTAAAGACCGTTTCATATTTTGACTAGACCAGTCGTCGTTAATTAAAAGATCAATTCTTTAAGATTGATTTTGACACATTTGTCTGATTAAATCAAATGTATAGCTACGACTATCAAGTTGATTTTTTTTAATTATGTATCTTATGTAATTTTTTAACCGGGTGAATAATATAAATGAGAAATCAAAATTTGTTTTAACCGTTATTGAACCAGTTTAGATTTCTACTCTTAGTATCCAATTAGCTATGTTTTTCTCAAGTATCATGAAAAGAAAACTCAAATCTCAATGACTTAGTTCCAATTAGGATTTCTAATGCCTGAATTTAGTCAAAATCAAATAAAACCGTTGGTTCAACCTGCAAAACCGGGAATCTGACATGATAAAACCGGTAAATTGACTGGTCTGTTGTGGAAGCTCGGTTTTAAACAGCTTATGGATTGTTGTTAATAAAACGAGACTCAAGAGTAGATGATTAGGATTTAATCATTTGTATTCATTTGTACAATGAATTTTAATTGTATGGAGTTTAGTTTTAAATTTAATTTTAAGTTTCTTTTGAAATTTAAATTTAATTTCTTCATAAAAACAAAAATTAGAACAAATAAATAAAAATAATTTTATTAAAATTGTCTCTAAAACTTCGTAGGAAACTGGTAAGATAATTTTGGTAGATAATTAGTGAGAAATATTTCGTAGGAAAGTTGTAGGATTAATTATATTTCCTACGAAAATTTGATAGGTAATTAATCTATATTATTAATTGGGAATCATTAAATATTAAGTAACCTTATGAAGAGTAAAATATTACAAAAAATGCCATTGGTTTTTAGTGTTTTTAAATAACTTCATTAAGGGTACAATAGTAATCACAAAATTAATATATTTTTAAAAAATAGTTTAATTCTTTTAAATAATTATTAATTTCCAAAAAAATAAACTAATTTTCTCTCTCTTATTAATTATAAACGAAAATTTGAAATTAATTTTTAAAAAATTGTTAACCAATAAGAATTGAAAAACTAAGATTTGATATCCAACTAAGATTTTATCTAAACCAATCGTAATAGACTATTCTATATCAAAAATAAAAAGAAAAATAATATCATTTTAATTCAAAATTAAAAACACTATCGTTTAAAAGATTTATCAATGGAGGACTTTAAGATTAAACTTAAAATTTCGTAAGAAAATTAAATACAAATATTTTAAGATTCAGATTTGTTATAATATTTTCACAAATTTTAAAATATAAAACAAAATTTTTTTTCACAATTTCTAAATACGATATTAGATATTAACAACTATTTATATTTATGATGAAATAAACTCAAATAATAATAAATTTAAAGTAATTATCATTATAACCTTCGTTTAGAGCAAGTTTGATAAATATCTAACAATAGATTGTATATATTAATTTCTAAATTATTTTGCGTTTTATTTTTTGTTTTTCAACCGGATCTTCCTTAAATAAATCCCTAATATATTGCACACAGTTTTCAAATAATGTAAACTAATTATATATTTTGAATTCAAATCAAATTATGCAGCAATTGCATATCCGTTTTAGAGATGTATCTCAAATTTTTATTTTTAGTCCAAAAATCAAATTAATTATGATTAAACAATAAAAAGAAGAATATGCAAAATTTAGCTAAGGAAAGAAACATTAATAAATTTGTTAAAATATATTTGTAACTTTAGCAGCATATATATTAATCTGCAAAACTCACAGTATATATTGTATGGTATTTAAAAGTAAGCAAACAAGAATTTGGAACATGATTTTAATGGAATGAAATGAGAATAGGAATTACGAGACGGGATGAGATGAGAACATAAATTAAAAATCAAACTAAATACCCAATTGGTATGAGTTCAGGTTATGAGCACTATATAAAATAAATTTGTTTACATACATAACCCTGTACGTACGTTTTCAGTTACACATATTCTATTTATGCCGGATACTGGACCGTCATATTTTTATTTCACGTATACGAGACGGGTTATGGGACCAAGAATTTATGACAGATATATGACGTGATAGGTTTCCCGTTCTAAAATAGTTACGCCTAGCTAATATACATGAAATAACCAAACTCAAACCGAATCTATATCCTATTTAACACATGTAATCAAACTATTAGATATGTTTTGATTAGTTTAGAAAATAAAAAAGTAACATCATTTAACTTTTGCAACTAAATTATATCTTAGTTTTATCTTAAATATAATTTCGCATGTACGTGTAGGTCCGGATCTTAAAATATAACTATGCACTAACGCAACTGAATTTCGTTCATTACTCTAATTTTATAATATTTATACTATTATAAATTTTACTAACACAACAAAATATTTTATATTTTTAAAATCTATATAACAATTTATATAAAAATATCTCTGCACATATGTGTGAATCCAGATCTAATACACTAAAATATATATCATAGAAACAACGAATAATCTATATTAAATTAAAATTTGTTAGAACTTTTTCAAAAATATGAAACCCCGCACGTATGTGCGGGTCATGATCTAGTGAGAAATATTTCGTAGGAAAGTTGTAGGACTGATTAAATTTCCTACGAAAATTTGGAAGGAAAATGGTAGAAAAGGCCCTACCAATTTCCTACGAAATTTCCTACGCGTTTTCCTACGAACCTGTTTCGTAGGAAATTTTCCACGAATTTCCTACCAAAATCTGTTTCCTACGGGCGATTCCCTACAAATATTTTTCGTAGGAAATTGGTAGGAAACGTCTATTTCCTACCAGTCTCCTACGATTTTGGCCGTAGGAAAACGCTGCATTTCTTGTAGTATATGTATCCTACTTACAAACTTCTCAAAAGCTGAAAATTTTTAGAACAGTTAATACTAAATTACTAATATAACTTAGACTACATGTAATCGTTAAAGAAGGTAGTTGAGGGGTTAGGCAAGTAGCGAGGGAGTAGACTTTCTATGAAATCAACATTTACGAATGTGCTTAGCAACCCCCATTTTGCTAATCTCATTTCAAAAATTGCCTTTACACTTTCTCCTGCTCTATTGTTTCTCTCACACAAGTACATGCGATCATACTACAATGTAGTAAAATCAGATCACTTGTAACTATATTTTCCCCTGTAGATGACAACCTCCTAGACGAATATAAACATGACCCAAAATCTTAGCAGACAATTATCATAATTTCATAAGCTTTGTAAGCCATGTCAAACTGAACAATTTAAGGAAACATGTAAAACACCAGAAGAAAGAAAATCACTCTTAGAACAATTTAAAATAAAAATATTGATTGGAACTAAAACTATAAGAAAACTAACCGACAACAAATTATTCTTAACGACGAACAATGAAATAGCTGAATGACTCACCAAAAAAAAAAAATGAAATAGCTTAATGAGTGAATTCCATCAATTTCACGAAAATTTGAAACGTGAATGGCTGGGGAGAGGGCTGAATTTTATTTGTTGACATGCTTTGATTTTGGTGACTTGTTGGAGCTTTTTGGTTTGCTTGTATGCTCGGCTTTTATAGGGTAGATTTTTGAAAGAGGTATTGGCTTCGGAGATAATGGCCATTAATTTGTTTAGATGTCAATTGGTGTGAATAAATGGAAGATTGAAGATGACGAAGTGGAAAGGCTGTCAGATTTGATAACGGTGGTGTAGTTGTGTTCTTAGAAAAGTGAATCGATTCAAGGACTTATGTGAGAAACTGTAGTGCCGTAGGATGATTAATTGATTATCATTTATGGCAATTATTATTGCTGATTTTATTTTTTTTTAATTTGGACATCTTGGTTTTAGGTTTTTAGATTGGTTAAAGAAAATATTGCGTGTATGGGCCTTTAAAATGAAAACGTTTTGAGGCTGCCTTAATACCATTTTTATTCAATCGGTAAATAGTAAATACATTGATTGTTGTCTTAAAAATAGTTTGCTGATGTGGCACAATTTTAGAGTAGATTTGTGAGCTGATGTGGATGGCCTAAGAGGCCTCAATGAACATCTTTTATTAGTAAGAGATGTTACTTTTGTCGAGTATTGAGATGTGTAATACAACTATACAAGGGATAGGAGTTGGAGAATTCGGCCCATAAAGTCCAGGAAGAGAACAACTCTTGGCCCATCAATAATAAACCAAAATGAAGATTAGAGATTGTTCTAGTTCTATATATATATATTTTTTGTCATCTATTCTAGTTCTATATTTTCCAATTGAAAATTCATATGATATTAGTATTATAAAATCAATAAATTTATATCAAATATTTTTCAAAACACCAAATATTAAGTTATTTAATGATGCATGATTTTTTTACTATAGAATATACAAGAATTGTTGAAAATTTTGAAAAATAAACAAGTTGAAGAAAATAAACAAAATTAAATATAAGAAAAACATGAGCAAATTATAAGCAAAACATAAGCAAACATTACAAATTAGAAGCATATCACAGTGCTGCTAGTAATGATGAAGCATATCATGCATGTGCATCTTGGTTCTGTGAAGGTTTTGGGTGTTAAAGTAGCGACCTTTATCACCATAAACCACTCTCTTTCTCTCCATTACACTCGTGTGAAAGAAACTTAGAAAGAAAGACTTGAAGCAGAGTTAAAACAGAGGAATTGCAGAGAAAGTAAATGCAAGAGAGAGTTTATACGTGTTCAGGTCTCAGTGTGAAACCCTACTCACGCCGGGAAAACTTATGTCCCGGAATCCACTAGAATCAACCTTATATATAGTCGCTCTTACTAGAGCTTGTACATACACAACTCCAACCCTAAAATCATTCCCAACTACTCAATTTCATCTCACCCACTCACTGCGTTTTGTGCCCTGCTTTTTCCTCTTTTGTTCGAACATCACTTGCAGGTACATAAGTCACATTTTCACTAACAAGGAAACAATGAATTGGCGCCAGCACGTTTCCTTGAATGACTCGAGATGGGCTTTGACTTGGTTTGGGCCTTGTGGATATTTTACCAATCAAAACCTTCTGATTTCTTAAGAGTCTTCTCTTGCCTTCTCTTCTCAACTTGAAACTCGAAGACAAACTCTCACAGGTTCCATGTGACCAAATACCATGAATGGGTCAAAGAGTGCCCCTTGCTTTATTTGAGCTTGTTTATATCAGGACAGGGAATGGTTATAAGAGAGATAAAATTCCCTCTACAAAAGCTCACGAGAATATGTTTTCCTTCTGAATTCAGTTTTCTTTTCTAAATATTTTTTCTCTTTAATTCAACTAGTTAATCTGAAAACTGTACCAGTCAAGCCATCATAAGAACAAGCCAATAAGTTAAGAGTTTTTCTTCATAGTAAATCACATTTTGTTTTTTGGTTGGGAAAATATTATGATCTTTAGAAAACATTTTGACAGCTAATTTTCCTACGAAGAAATTAGTCTAAGTTTTAATAATTTTTAATCATGTGTTCTGTTTATTCTTTTAATGCTTCACGTGGATAGATAGTTTTCAATTTCTTTTGTTAGTAGCATAGTAGCCAAGTTAGTGTCTTATTAATTAGCATGCGAGTTTTGTTTAGCTGTCAAATATTCCGTTGCAATGCACTAATTTTCAAATGGAGAGAAACGAGCCTTCTTTTTAAAAGTGTCACTGCAAAAATGCATTAATATTCTGATTTAAAAAAATAAAGTTTAGTATCAGATGGACTTTGAATCCAGAACATAAAAAAACCAACCCTCTTATGCTAACACTAGGCCACCATAATTGAAGTTCACATTTTTAATTTATTCTATCTTGAAATTAGTACATTTTCGAAGTTGTAGATAATTTACGTGTTATTGTACATCTTTCATAATTGGGAGTAGTATAGTCATTTTGGGTTTCGTTCAAAGTTGACAATCGTATAAAAACTGAATCAGAAGTTTACTTGAATAGTATATTAATTTAGAGAGAAAGTTGTGTCTGCGCTAAGTATCCATACAATGATGGATTAATATTTGGATAACTAACACTAATGTCGTTATGTTCTTGAATTTATTTAGAATATATATATATATATATATATTATGTAAATAGTGTTATAAAATCTCAGTAACGTGGACGGTCTTTGGTGATGGATCATGGCGGCTACAAATGGTGGGAGCAGGTCTATGGGTACATACAATAATACCATACGACAGAGTTTAAGGATTATTTCTTAAATTTTTAAATTATGGTAAGAATTATATTTAATTGCATGTGTTTATAAAGTGCAAATGCACACATGACTCTGCCTATCTAGCTATTCGCATATAATGAAAAGAAAAAGTCTATGAATTGAATAAGTTTGAATGTTTGAACTCGATTTTATTTATGACCCAACATAAAAGTAATCTCATAAAACATATGATGAAATTAGCTATACAAATTTTTTTACCCAATGTATATATGTCTAGTTTTACACAATATGAAAATGTTTAAACGTTAATGTAAAAACTATATAGAAATTTTCGTTTGGGCTGTTATATACATATGATCTACATTTACATATTTATAAGCCATATATAAAATACGTAACGACATTCGTCAAGATTAGTTGTTGTTTGTCAATTGGGTTGTTAATCAACAACCATTATTATAACAATTGGTTAAGGGTTAGATATATTGCAAATAACTTCAACTTCATTAAAATACGTCACATGTCATGATTTGTCTACCAAATACAATTAATTAACTTACCGACTTTCTCGACGAAATAAAAAGGTTATCGAAATTCTCATCTATGTAACCTTTATTTCCACGAGCAATCTAGATAGGCTAATAAAGTAGCCATCGTACGTAATATCATGCAAAAAAATATAAATAGCTTTGGAATTTTTCTAGTGTCTTGGCATGGCAAGTTGAATAAATACTAAATTGAGATGTCTCTAGTAGATAGTGCCGAAGAATAGGACTTTCTAATTCTAGGGACCAGAAGATGTGATCTCGTCCCAGACGCTTTCGTAGAGCAAGCCACCCCAGTCACTATAACTTCAGTTCAAGCAAGGTCAACCAATATATAATGCTAGACAACTATGTCAATAAATAGTTGCGTACATCGCTCCATCAAACACTATGTCCCATTCCCGAGCAGGTCAATTACCGCGACCAACTTCGTCACCGCAGGTGCACACTATACAATAAAGAAAAGTGAGCGATATATACGAGAAATTATGAACAATGATCCTCTTGGGAACCTTCACTTATTTTACCTCTTCCTCATCTCGATCCCTTATTGTCCAAGTTGCATCTCAAAGAGTTACATCCCCACTTCAAGAAGCAACATTCATCCTTTTTTAACTCTTTCACTAAACAGTAATCGAGACTTAGATCTCTCAAACTAAGACCTATAGCCTTAATCCCCATTTATTTTCGATAATCGGACTTTCAGTCACGTTGATTCAGTATGACTAAAACGTTAAAGATTTTATGAGAGGACAAACTTATTTGTGGTCCTCGCATAAGTTGTTTTAGCCATGCTACTATTGCATATCGTTACACTTTCGGAAGGCGGTCGGAGAAGCCTTGCTTGATCATTTCTAGCGGATATTCCATCTACCTTTCATTCAGTTTTAATCTAGAGTACTCGACTTTCCATCAAAAACAATTCAATCATTCAGAAAATCTCCAAAATATCCATTCCGGTGAAGGTTTTAAACGTTTTAAAATATTTATTATTCAATTTAACTTAGTATACTTTATATAATTTAATTTACTTAAATTAAAATTGTTTAAATTACATTGTTATTTATATTTAATGTACTTAAATTACATTTATTATATCTTATAAACATTTGGAAAGAATGTCTCTTTTCACTAATTTTCTTTAGTAATATAGATATACGTACACCATAACTAATATTTAAGAATAAATTAGAAAGTAGAAATAACAATAAGAAAAGACAAGGCAATAGTATTTTTCTGATGATAATTGACCAAAAATTGAAATCAAGCAGGAATAAAAAGAACATGTTAGGTAGCTTCTTTCTTCTTGCTCTCTTCTCCTCATTGCTTTATCGTCTCACGACCAACACTATATAATCCTTAACTTGGGAACTCTTATACTCCAAACATTTTCAAATTAAATTTTCTAAGTGTCTCGTATAATAAATGGCGAAATTCGGGTTAGCTCTTGTGATGATTCTTGTGATTCAAGGGTTTGTGAGCTTTTCAGAAGCACAATTGAAGATGGGATTCTACGACCAAACTTGCCCTTACGCAGAGAAGATTGTACAAGATGTTGTCAACCAACATATCCACAATGCACCCTCTTTGGCTGCTGGCCTTATTAGGATGCATTTTCATGATTGCTTCGTTCGGGTATTCTTTTATCTTTTATCAACTTTATTGTATACTTATTATCATACGTACCATACATGTTTCATAGATTATTTTAGCCATGTAATAATCATATAGTATATGCGAAAACCTATATTTTTGTATATAGATAGCTATATTAATATGTATGCATGGTGTTAACAGGGTTGTGATGGTTCAATCTTGATCAACGCGACATCGAGCAACCAACAAGTCGAGAAGCTTGCTCCTCCGAATCTAACTGTTAGAGGTTTCGATTTCATCGATAAAGTAAAGTCTGCTCTAGAATCAAAGTGTCCTGGAATTGTCTCCTGCGCTGATATCATCACCCTCGCTACTAGAGACTCTATTGTTGCGATTGTGAGTATGCTAATAATTTAGCTAATTACCTCGTTTTGACCAATACACAAAAACTAACCAGTTTTGATTAATTGTGGCTTAGGGTGGACCGACATGGAATGTTCCAACGGGACGCAGAGACGGACGTATCTCTAACTTTGCCGAGGCTAGGAACAATATTCCTCCTCCTTTCGGAAACTTCACGACTCTTATAACCCTCTTTGGAAACCAAGGACTTGATGTTAAAGACCTTGTCTTGTTATCCGGTAATATCCAACTCCAAATTGTCTTTTTTTTGTTCGGTTTATAAAATTTTGGTTGAGCTAAAACTCATAGAAGAAACAAAACACTGCGTTTTGATGTAATGGGTTATTTAAACGGTGTCGTTTTAAATTATGGTATTTAAACAGTGTCATTTTAAACGTTTTAGGTGCGCACACTATTGGAGTGTCTCATTGCTCCTCCTTCTCAAACCGTCTATTCAATTTCACCGGAGTTGGAGACCAAGATCCGTCGATGGACAGCGAATATGTCGACAATCTCAAGTCACGGAGATGTTTGTCTCTCGCTGACAATACCACAACAGTCGAAATGGATCCCGGTAGTCGAAACACCTTCGATCTTAGCTACTACAAGCTTGTCCTGAAGCGTCGTGGACTTTTCGAGTCAGATGCTGCATTGACTATGAATCCCGCGGCATTGGCTCAGGTCAAACGCTTTGCCGGAGGATCGGAGCAAGAGTTCTTTGCTGAGTTCTCGAAGTCCATGGAGAAAATGGGAAGGATTGGGGTTAAAACCGGGTCGGATGGGGAGATCCGAAGAACATGTGCATTTGTTAATTAAAAGTGTTTCTTACTTTTTCTTTGGAATCTTTTTTTTTAAAATATCGTTACATTGGTGTTTTTGTTCTTTTTGTCAAACTTTTTTGGGTGTTTACAATTTCGAGATATGTATTATTGTATGTGGTGAAAATGTGATTTTCAAATAAATTTCACAGTTGTTAAATCGTTGTACTAAAATTTTCAATTAAAAAATTGCTTTAGCATTTGAATTTTTTCTCTAAGAAAGCAATAGATTCATATTAGCGAAATTATTAAATCGAGAATAAACAAATTAACAAAGATAAGCTTATTTTTATCAGTAAATATAAAGGTTTGAAATATATGAGTAGAAAGGATTAAATGTTTAAAAATCAAAAAGGGTAGAGAACATAAAAAAAAAATCTAATTTTTGTAACTGTGGTTTATTTTTCAGATATCAACCCAAAAAAAAAAACAAAATATGACTTCTAAAAATGTAGAAGAAATTATATTGGGCCATGCCCCAAAAGGGTAAGCCGTAAGCTCATTGCTGGAACAAAAACAGTTAAAGCCCATTGACCCACTTGTGATTTTCTACAATTTAGGTGACTCATCAGTGTTTGCTTCTCTTCTCAAATAAACTCATCAGTGTAAAACTGTTTCTGTAAGAACTTTTACATAAGAAGAAGACTGTATTTTAATTACCATAAACCAATCTTTAGAAGATACATTTTCCAATCAACATATCTCAAGTATTACATTAACCTCAGTGTGAAAAAATAAAGACTCTAATTTGTTTGTCTATGAAGCTTGGTGTAGTAGTGTTAGGTCACAATAGAGTTTTGCAACTTCAGTATTACACACAAACAAAAAAAGGCAAAATGGTGTATACATATCTTATAATTACGAACTGTAATTTATATACATCAAAGATTATCATTCATAAATAAAACAATCAAAAACCTGTAATTTTACTCTTTTCTTTAATCAAAAGAGTTACTCAAAGATTAGGTTTTTCACACAAAGAGTTAGAGATTACAATCAGTGATCAATCACTTCAAGAATCTCACTTCTGCTTTTCACCAACCTATGAAACACTTCTCTAACTCTTCTTTGTAACCCTTCAAGCCCATCTTCCATTTTCCGACAAATCTCCTCCATCTCCGCCACTTCCGCCGTCACATCATCCTCCCCATTAAACCTAAACCCTTCACTGAATTCCATTAGTTTCAATCCAATCCTCTCCATCCTCTGCATCTCCTCCATCAATCCACCGCAACGCGTCTCCTTCCGTTTCATCTCTTCTCCGATCCTCTCGGAGATGCTCACGGCGGCGCTAGCCCAAATCTGATTCTTCGGCAGCGGTAAATGAACCATTAAGCCGTTACTTGTTTGACAAGGAACCGCTACAACTAACGTCCACATCACCATTACCATCACACTACTCATTATATACATCGGCGACGCCTCTCCGCCACGTGGCGCTACGAGATTCGCCGTCATTGCCTGAATCTGCTTCGCCGCTGACCAATTCTTACTCACACACCCTCCTCCTCCTCCTCCTCCTCCTCCTCCTCCGCTTCCGCCGCTACGTCGACCAAACGAAGACCACTGCTCCGTTGATGACCTCCTACCACTTCCTCCGCCGCTGCTACCGCTGTTTTTATCAGCGTTTAAAGCGGCGAGGAGACTTGTAAGCGCCCGTTTAGCTCTCCTAACGCTTCCGTCACTTAACGGCGTTTGTTTCAACGCCGTAACAGCAATCTCCGCACAACGCTGGATTTGTCTGACTGAGTCAACGCCGTTGACTACGGCGGTACAAATATCAAGAGCTTTAACAATCCGATCAAGCATCTCCGGTACAAGCTTATCTAACGGAGGTTTCGAGATCTGAGACGGATTCGTTGTTAAAACCGAATGAAACTCCGATTCTATAGACATGAAAGCATCAAGAAGCTTCCTCAGCCACTGGATCGAAAGAACCGGGTAAGATTCCGGCGAATCCGACGGTGGTAAGAGCTCGGTGAAACGCTCAGATACGTGTTTCTGAAAATCTTCGAGTTCTTCGAGCTCTTGCTCGTGATTAACCTCCATGGAAACAACTTGACTGCGACGGCTGATTCGACTCAAGAACGAACTCTGATGCTCCGTCGCCGGCGCCATTTAGACGGCGAGATTACAACAATCTTTTGGGGGAAAAAGAGAGAATTTTGATAAAGCAGAGAAGGGTTTTGAGATTATTGACCAGAGAAGAGAGTCATTATAAGAGAGAAGGGGATAGATTGAAGAAGACATGTTTTGTCTGGTAGTGAGACCAGAGACTTGTTCTTCTTTCTTATTTTGTTTTTTTCTTTTTCTGTATATAATTGTTTTTTTCTTCACTATTTATTTCACTTCCAATTTATTTTTGGAAGTTGCAAATATGACTCAAAATATTTATTCTAATGCTAAAGTAAGTTGCCTAAACATTTTCTTGCAAAAATAACTTTTTGTTTATCAAAATATGCTTTCAAATGCAAAAAAGTAACTTACATTAATATTTTCTTGCAAAACTATTTTTTATCCAATTTTTTTAATATAAATATTACCATATTTAAAGTATTTTATTCACAATTTTTTAATTACATAAACAAACAATTGGAATTTTTTCGTATATAACTGAGGATATAAAATCTACGATAGAGTGTTGAATCTAAAATAGCTTTTATGTCATATAAATTAAATTATTAATCATATGTAGGTCGTGTTCTTTTAACAGTTGCGTGATTCTAACTTGCGACTGAATTTTGTAATTATTTTTTTTGACATGTGAGTTTTGTAATTATGAGTATTTTAAGGAATATTTCTATAAATTTAGTAAATTTCCAACAAAAATGTGGACTTCTATAATCTAACGATTGTCGCTGTTTTCAAAATAAATTTTGGTCGTGTTGCTATTTTTTCCAGGAACTCCGAACAAACTGAAGTCACAGTGACAGAAATTAAAGGAAGATGAAAAAGAAATGGCGGAGAAGTAAAGATAAGTTTCTATTCCAAGCAGTTGTCGCTCAACTCTCTCCTGAACAAAACTGTAATTGAGTTTCTATTTTTTTTTAGCTGAATCTCTTAAAGTATATCATGTTTTCATTTTCATTCATTTGTCATGTTAGTTAATCAAATTTTCCATTTTTAAAAGTCTTCTATTTGTTAGCGGACCAAGATGATATGTACCAAAACAATATGCATTGTAAGTCTAAAAAAAGCAGCTAAAAATCAATTAACATTCAAATTCAAAAAAAAAAATTGTGGGAAAAGACTAGGTGTCGTGTTCGAATCCTAACACGTAGAAAAATAATCATACAAATTAGGAAGAAAATTATAACACCACATATAATCTAGCTGAGACAATTTTTGTAGCTAATTTAGTTGAGTCGAATCTATATAGAACATTAACTATCTTAAAAAGCTAAAATCCCATAAAATCTAGGGTCCACTCCTAAGTCCTAAGTCCTAACTATACAAAGGTAAGGTCGTCCTAGTAACCTAAATAGTAAAGGCTATCGTTACTCGTTAGTCAATGTTTGTCGAAGCCATGTTTTGTTCATGAGCGTACGTTTGGCCTTCACACTCCTAGTTGAGTGGTCAAGAACAGTCCCGAAAGGCTTGGACCATCTAACGTATTAAAGAAGAATAATAAAGGGATTATTGTTGATTTTGCCCTTTTATCACTCATATCTTCTGAATTTGTCATTTTGCTTCAAATATTTTAGATCTGTCATTTTTGGTCACTTTAAAAACTATACATTTGTGATTTTTTTTATTTTATAAAATACATATTAAATAACAAACACTAAATCCTAAAACAAAATTGAACAAAACAACTCAATCTACTGTTTCTAGGTCAAATAGTAGTAATTTCACTCCTAATAGTTAAAGTAAACGTATTACTGTTTATGTTTTTTATAGCATGACATATTTCATTTTTTATTTTACTTTGTTTTTTATGCAAATGAAAGGACAAATAAACTCGTTTCACAAATCAAATTTATGCTTAAAAAATGAAAAGGACATACAATATTCGCAGTAAAAAAAAAGTTATTTGGAAAATACCTTTATCAATGTTCTAAAAATTGGACGTGTGCATTGGGAGATTTTCTGCCCATTTAAAGAAGTAGTAGTAGTAAAAAGTATTTTTCCGCAGTAATTGGTTAAAATTGAAATACTTTATATGTCTTTTTTGGACAAAGGCGAAAATATAAGTTCTACATGAAGAAAATAAAGCAAAACTGAGTTTTTTCTTTTCTTTTGTCAGCCACCGAAATTGAGTTTATTTAATGTTCGCCACCGAAATTGGTTTATCACAAAAATGTGTAAAGAAAGGAATCAGACCGTTTCGTCTGAAAAACTGAACCTCTTCTGAAAAGTCTCCATCAGGTTGAAAATGTCGTCGTTGTCAGTAGCAAAAGGATAAGATATTATATAATATAATTTAAAAATCAAGAATCAAGGATTTGTCATTTTTCTTAATGGTATTTGTGAATTTTGCAATTTTTAAATAGTTTATGGATTTGGCCCTTTTTCAGGCTATAAAAATATGATTTAACATGCGTTTTACCCGTTATGTTTGGGTTTAGTCGGTTTCATTTATTTTTAGGGTTTAGTATTTGGTATAAAGTACGTATTTTTTCAAAAAAAAATCGTAAATACGTACATTTTCAAGTGTTAAGAAATGGCAAATCCATAAAATTTTAGTTAAAATGGCATTTTCAAAAAATTTTCATGAAAAAGGACAAAATCAACAATAATCCCAAAAATCAATTTATTGCCTAATAAAAATAATAAATAAATTATGCCAAAGCAAAAGCCAAAAGTTGTGACAACAAAGTGAGAAAAGAAAGCTTTGACTGAGTCATGCACATCTCTTGGCTCTCGTGCGCTTTTAATCTCTTCTATAGTTCCAATAAATTCTGTTTCATATTTTAAAACAATTTTGAATATATGATGAAATTAAGAGAATTAATATCCATGTAAAAAAAATTTTATTATGCACAAGCAAAATGCAATTTATAATTATTTAATTTTTGAGATTTTAAAGAACTAGAACAGATAATTTTTGACCTTTTTTTTGGTTGGTTTATTACTAAATCAGTAGGGAACTTTAGCATATTTTTTTCTATTTCCTCTGCGTGAAATAAGGATCATTAATTATGGTAGTTTATATTCGAAAATGGTCGGTTAAAGTTTACAGTTGATGAGTTTGGTTTGCTCCGTGTCTACTTTCCATTGTTCTCGCTTTCTCTTATTTCTCGTTTATGTAATGTTAAAGCGGACTGTTTAGCCCGATCTTCTAGACTTTTATTTTCTGAAGTTATTTTTGTAAACACTACTCCTCCTAGTTGGGCAACCAATCAAGGAGTTATTTATTAATTAACGTGTGGTTGACAAAAAAAAAAAAAAAAAAAAAAAAGTTTACAGTTGATGACTGTTAGAAAAGAATACTGAAAACGGTTATAAACATTATATGGTCGGTCCATATTATATCTTTATTTTAGTTTATTCCTTAAAATTTTCTCTAAATAGTTGAAATCAAAATGGCTTCTCTCTTACTTGAAAACGAACGCATGATTGAACCATATCCTTATAATTTCCCAAATTAACGCGTACATATATTAATATCAAATTTTAAAATCTGAGTACTATAAGTCACTTATTTATCATCAACGAAGTATCATTGTCGGAAAAGCAATTTAACAACCAAAAGCGACGAAAATATTAACTTTTTATTTATTTTATTTGCCGTCATAACGACAGCCACGAATACGAATTTGAGAGATCTAAACGCGTTATGTTGGAATTTCACGAATTTATTATTTTACATTATAAAATTTTGTTTAATAGATATTATAATGTCGCTTCTTAGATTTAAGTCATTTAACACAATAAGGAAAAACATGATATAGTGTGATGGATTACCATTTAAACAAATGAGTGATAATTTTCACAATGTAAACATATACAAAAAACATAAACTTACTAATATGCATTTTAATTCTCGGATTTTCAGATGAAGAAAAATATATTTATTGTATTTGATTTTTTTTTTTGTTAATTTCCTTAATTGAGGACAGAAGTAGTCTTCTCTATATTAAACTAGGAAAACATATTCCTCTATTCTCTGTTGTCTTCTCCTGTTAATTTTTTTGACTGTGACCTCGATCATCATACTCTGCCAAACTCATTTTAAGTTGACTGAATAGTGAACTTATGCACCATTGTAAAATACGTTCAAATATTTAGAAATTTCAGGTTAATGGGTTATTTCTTTTTAATGGGCTGTGCTGAATTGTATATATAATATAGGTTAATGACATAGGCCATAAAACAAACTGTACGTTGGGTCTTTGTACCCTACTCAAATGCTTCACTGTTTGGCCCATCGTCCACAAATAGAAGAAATCACAATATATGATTTCCTTACTCCTAGAGCCTAGAGGCTAGAGGGTCCAGATGAATCAACTAGAGAAAGGGGTCCATTAATTCATTTGGCGAATATAATTAATTAGCGCAATGAAAAACATTCTTGTTTTAGTTTATCGATTTCAGGCTTTTAAATGTTGTACCTTAAATTTTTTTTTTTTGGAAAAAGTTGTACCTTAAATTTGTATTAGTGTTGATGGCGTTTTAAATCCGGTTTCCCATCCATACACGAAAATAATTATAGGGATCTAGAGAAGACATTATTGTTGGTATTGTTTCTAGTTTTGTTTTGTTTTCCACACATGTGAATGGGTTAGATTATATAGGCAAACTTTTCGAGAGATTTTCCAGGGATTTCTGAGGGTTTTTATTTACAATATACGCCGAGTTGGAAATCCTTCGAAAATCCCTAGAAAGAAAACAACGGTTAAAATGTTCTCGGAAATCCTTCGAAAATTAAATCAATTTCTGAGGACATTTCTGATGGAAGTATATTTTTTTCCGAGGGATTTCCGAGAAACTAGTTTATTTCTGAGAGATATTGTCATTACTATATAATTTTCGAGAGATTTTTTCCGTCGGAATACGCCTTGCTTTCTTGTAGTATATGTAGTTTATAGACGACAAAAAAAAAACCATTGGGAGATATTGTCATTACTATATATGTATAGAGATTATTATCTCAAAATATAAATTAATATTCCAATAATTTTTTAAATAAATATTAAAAATAAAATTATACTTTGCTTCACCATACATATGTATATATATACAAATTGTTCTTGAGATTAATTCATCATTAGAATATATTTTATATATACTGGTTTCTTACTCGGTCCCCCCATGCACACCCCCAAAAAAATGAATACAAATATATAAGAGTTGGTGGCGACGTACGTTACATGTCCGTGTCCCACCTCAGATTTCTATACATGCAGATAAATCTTTAGCTCTCGTGATTCATTGTGACATCGACCTCAGCCAGACAATGTCGATAAATAATAGAGTAGTGGACCAATATTATACTTTATCATCTATTGGCCAAACTTATATATTAACCCTTCAAATTTTGAGGAATTTTTATAAATTTTATGCGGTCTCTATATTTTTATGACAAAAATTTTAGAGGTTGATCTCTGGTTTTATGTATGAGCATGTGTGCTTTGGGTTTATTTGGGTCGTTTTGTCGGCTGGTCGTAATTGAGTTGAATCTTGCCCTTATGATTGTTACTTTATTACTCTTATGTATATTGTTTCTTTGTGGTTGATTCGTGTATATTATGCATGTTGATGATGGTGATGAATTGTGGATGAGAATGGACAAGTAAAAAAAAAAAAAAAGTAGAAATGAAATCCACTTCATCCTGTTCTTGATCGTGGGTGGGATGTTACACTTAAACCCAATCGATAGCACTTGCATCCAGTTGGATCTCATTCCAATCACAAATCACTCGGTTTTTAATCAACCCTATTCATGGATTTGATCGTGCTTTTGAGATTTTTACGTAAAAAAAGTGAATACATGTTCCAAAACATAAAACCATAGTTGCGGTTTTTTTAGTTATTATATTAAAATTTTAGTGAAAAAAATACCAATTTCTTAAGATAATCTCATGAGTAATATTTTGTTATATATATGATTTCACTCTCATATATAAAAAATTAATAAATTATGCGTACTAGATAAATTATTAAGAGTTGGTGGTACAATTATCACATTTGTTTGAAGTAATAAAGCCAAATCACCCAAAAATAATATCTGAAAAGAAGATATAGTGATGTTACGTACATATCTGACATGGCCACCTCAAAAACTTGATGTTATAACTTATAAGCGTGAAAAACGTTCAAAACCTAAAGCTCTAATTATCGTGACACTGACATTATATATGATTATGTTTATGTACTAATGTATATGGAAAGAGACTGATATGTTATACGCATGAAAAACGTTCAGAACCTAAAAACTCAGCTAAGGCAGTGACGAATGAAAATTAAGAATAGGTTTTTGAACCACTACTATTTTATATAATCTTTTATAATTTTTAAACATTTAAATTTTTGGGAAATTTGACTAGGCATTTACTTTTTAAGAGTCACTGTGAAATAACTTTTTGAATATCATTTATGACGAAATATGTCACTATGTCAGCCATAATCAATAATTCACTACGCTCAGTGACAGCCATAATCAATAATTCCAGTTCTTTTTTTTTATAAATAATTGCTTAAAACCGTAAATAATTGAAAACTTACAAAAACGTAAAATATTTTTGAAGTATTTCAAAATGTACCGTGAATTATAAAATTTCTAAAGGGCAAGATGTTTAAAAATATTTCAAAATGTACAGTAAAATATTGGAAAACTTACGAAAACGTCTGGATGAAGTCTTAAATCATGCATCTCTTAATCAGTGTTCCCAAAATCTCTTTGAATAATCATTAAAGATTTTGAAAGCTATGACAAATGTAATTTTTTAAAGAAAATTTGCCCTAAAATATTCTTGTTTATATAGGTTTAATAATTATAACAAATTCGAAATCACTAATCGGCAGTAGATAACGACCGAAATATAGATTTAATGAATCATTGAGATACATAAAATTGTGTCGGTGCCCACATGATGGTGGGCTGGTGGTTTGGCGGGCCCAGGGTGGTTGGGTGCAACTCCCTCCTCTCCTTGGTTCGATTCCTCCTTCCTGCTGTTATCAACATTATTGTGGGAAGTCTGTCAGTTGGGCTTTGGTCCAATTGGTTTACCTGATAGTCAGAAATACAGGCGGCCTGACTACCCCTGGCACTTAGTCGGAAGGCATTCCAAACTCGGGATAGGCAGAGTGGTAGCCCGAAGGGCCTAGCCGTTAACACGGTGGACCAGTCCACTATGTAGCACCTCGGTGTGTTCCTACCGGAGCCGACCGGATAGCCGATAGGGTTTATCAAAAAAAAAAAAAAAAACAAATTGTGTCGGTCAAGTTATAGTGTTAATGCATATCAACAACACTAGTAAATCACTTTTCCCACCTGATTAAACAGAAAAATACTGTTTAAAACTTTGATATTGAACAGAATCTTTCTCTAGGAAGAACTCATTCGCTTCAAGAGCAAAAAACTTTGATGCTGTAAATCACCTATAGAAATTAAAGTATCTTTTTTTTTTTGAATTTGATGTTAAACTAAATTCAAAAAGAAAAATATACGTTTTCACAACTGGTGCAACGTTTTGTTAAAAAAAAAAGCAGAACATCTAATTGATTTTAAAACTTAGACTCTTGACTCAAACCATCGTTGGAGACCGTTGTCGTATCTTCTATCCCCCGTGGCCCGTATTGCTGAGAATTGGTTCCGAATTTGCCTGTCAATCCATGTGATCAGTCGGCATTTTGTGGTCGGAGTTTTCCGTGTCGGCGATCATTTCTCTCACGCCAAAGGGTGTAAACAGTGGCTTGGAGGACATATCTAGCGATGAAATTAAAGTATCATTCAAAGTAATTCACTTTATCTGCAAAGTATTGACATAATGATTAAGGTGGTGTTTAACGGTCACAAAATTGAAGTATAAATAGTAATACAGTCACAAACTTTGATGTTGTGGATGCTCGAAAATCAAAAGGCGATGACAACATAAGGTTGTTTAGAACTGACAAAAATGTCGCAACCTCCATCGCAGTACCTTTTCACGTAGCATAACATGATTAATTAGTTTTGTTGGAGTGTCATGTGGTACGTACATTAAACGTTCACATAACAAAATCAACTCACTCTAGCTATGACTGTTAGATGAAAAGTAATATCAAAATTAAAAATGATGAGCACTATCAATCTAAAATAAATCAGTCAGTAACCTAATTTCATTTAAAGTTATTGTCATTTAGCAAAAAAATTCTAAATAATAATCGGTCAACACATGCTGGTGAGTTTCAAATGTATGAGTTTTGACGAAGTTTCAAACGCTTGTTAATAAGTTGTTATATAGGGAAATTTTTAGTTATCAAAAAAAAAAAAGATGTTATATAGGGTTTATAATGTTGGAATTAAGGATTATGAGATCAGTTGCTCATAACATATAGTATTTTCGTACGTTCAAATATAATTGGAAATGTTGTGGTACTAGAAATATGTTTCCAGTAGAAAAAAGGGCTACAAAAGTCTCATAAGTTTTTGAGACTTCCACAAATTTTTGAGGCTACACGCGTGTTCACCATGTAAAAATCTTCTCATTTTTGAGATGTCATTTTTTACACATCTAACACCGAAATCATGAATTCGAATTTTTTTAAGAAATTAAACTTAAGATACAACAATTTTTTGAACGTTTTCATTTGAAAATCTTTGGTAAAAGATTGACTACGGAAGTTAAAACTATACTTGGAACGGTAGGTCGGCAATTGTTCACTCCAATGGACATGTGTTATACAGTTGTTACCTATCTGAGCTCTGATCACTGAGTACTATAAAAGCTGTCATATGTTAGCAACAATTACACAACACAATATCCTTTTTACTTCTTTCATAACTATCAGAAAAAAAAAACACAAATCAAAGTTTCATTAGTTTAATACCTCAAAAAAAACATGGGTAGTGCAAAATCAGCCATGCTGATACTCTTAGTCGCAATGGTCATCACATCTTGTGCCACGGCCATGGACATGTCCGTTGTGTCCTCCAACAATAACCATCACTTGACCACCAGTCCTGGCCATCTCCATAGCGGTTTCGATGCTGAGGCCTCGCTGATCTTCGAGTCATGGATGGTCAAACATGGGAAAGTGTACGGGTCCGTTGCCGAGAAGGAACGGCGTTTGACGATTTTCGAGGACAACCTTCGTTTTATCAATAACCGGAACGCTGAGAATCTCAGCTATCGGCTTGGTTTGACCCAGTTTGCGGATTTATCTCTTCATGAGTATGGAGAAGTTTGCCACGGGGCTGATCCAAGACCTCCTAGGAACCACGTCTTTATGACAAGCAGCAACCGATACAAGACTAGTGCTGGTGATGTGCTTCCTAAGTCTGTTGATTGGAGAAACGAAGGTGCAGTGACTGAAGTCAAAGATCAAGGCCATTGCAGTAAGTGGACAGATTTTAAATCTGGTCTGTCTTGTCTAAACTATTTTTAATACAAAGCCGTTGAAAAAAAAAAGAAAAAACTATTTTTCTTTAGCGTAAAATAGTAGAACTATTATTGGAAATCAGTTAATATGTAAAAAGACTAAAAACTTATAGAAACTACAAAACTTACTTGAAGAAGAATAATAAGAAAATTATTTAAATTCGCTTCAATTAAAAGAATCACTTTTAGAACTAGTAAGTATATTTTAAGACGTATATTTTGAATTCAGTACAATTTTCAATTAGTTTCCCTTTCTTGGTTTATACAAAACCGTTGATACAAACTAACACTAGCCAACGTTTTTTCTGGATCATAGTATTTAAAAACGTTATTGTTGGATCAAAGTTACAACAGGAATAGACACTAACTAGTAACATGTATTCCCTCCGTTCTTTTATAAGTGTTGTTTTTAGCTTCTAATTTTGTTTTTAATATATGATGTTTTCAATTTTCAATGTAAAATTAATTATTTTTTATTGGTTTTGACGATTTATATTCTGTACATTATTTTTATTGGTTTTGACGATTTATATTCTGTAGATTACTTTTTTATTGGTTGATTAGATAATAAATGATGTTTTAGTTTAGAAATAAACAAAAATTAAATGATTTCTTAATCTATGTGCATTCTCCTAAAACATCACTTATAAAAGAACGGAGGGAGTATCATTTTCTGATATCTTAATGGGAAAATGTCAAAAAAAAAAAGTATCACAAACTTTAAAATTTGGTTTAAAAAAGCACCACTTTTTCCGAACGTTTTAAATCGACTTTTCAGTTTAATCACAAATTTTTGTTGACTTTTCATTTTAATCACAAACTTTTGTTAACCGATCCATGCTAGGCCCGTCATAAAATGTGACTATTATGAAAAAAAATTGGTGTTTTTTTTCAACCAAATTTGAAAGTTAGTGATTTTTTTTTTTTGACATTTTCCCATATTTTAATCCATAATCTACAAACTTTTCAAGCATGTTTTGTTATTTTGTGAAGGGAGTTGTTGGGCTTTCTCGACTGTGGGAGCAGTGGAAGGCTTAAACAAGATCGTGACGGGAGAGTTAGTCACTTTGTCTGAGCAAGATTTGATTAATTGTAACAAAGAGAATAATGGTTGCGGAGGAGGCAAAGTCGAGACAGCCTATGAGTTCATCATGAAGAATGGTGGTCTTGGTACCGACAACGATTATCCTTACAAAGCTGTTAACGGAGTCTGTGATGGCCGCCTCAAGGTCAGTGACAGTATAGTTACGATAATTTATAATTTATATAATATTAAAAGAAATTAAGAATCAATTTTGAACTTATTTTTCAAAAATATTTGTGTAGGAAAACAACAAGAATGTCATGATAGATGGCTTTGAGAATTTGCCTGCAAACGACGAATTCGCTCTAATGAAAGCCGTTGCTCACCAGCCTGTAACTGCCGTTGTCGATTCCAGCAGCCGAGAGTTTCAGCTCTATGAATCGGTAAAAGAAAACAGATTTCTTTAAAACTTTCGTTTAGAAAATCTTCTTTATTAGAAAAAGATTCCATTGATCTTTTTTTTATGTCAAAGGGAGTGTTTGATGGCTCGTGCGGAACAAACCTAAACCATGGTGTTGTTGTGGTCGGGTATGGAACCGAGAACGGTCGTGACTACTGGCTCGTGAAAAACTCGAGGGGGAATACATGGGGAGAAGCTGGCTACATGAAGATGGCTCGCAATATTGCCAATCCAAGAGGTTTATGTGGCATTGCGATGCGAGCTTCATACCCTCTCAAGAACTCGTTTTCTACCGATAAAAGCTCCATCGCCTAAGAAAAGGAACTAAATGTATGTTATGCAAGGGATCAAGTGAGCGAACAACCTATTCGATTGTGTGAAAAATAATGTAGTCGATGGGTTTTGTTTTGTAATATATTTTGAAAAAAATTATTACGTCTTTGTCTTTTAAAGTCTCTAATGTCAATCTTACCACAGCGACCAAAAGCAAAAGAAAAGAATGTTAAACCTATTTTAATTTCTTAACCTTGTTACTATGAACCAAAAATTTAAATTCTTTTCCAACCGAACAAAGATGATTACATCCATATATATCTTTGAAACAACTGAAGCCACTCATATTTCGTTCTTGATCTTATATATATCTTGTTTTTCTCGGAAAATCCAATTTAGATATTTATTGGATGTTTCGTTGTGTCATACTGTCACACTAATAATAGTACGAAAAAAGTTTCATACTGAAGAGTTCACTATATATCAACTTGAGTAAATTATTAGATCAAGAATCAAATAATTTAGATTGATTTTATAATGTAAATAAGAAATGAATCCTCAAACAATGAGGTTGCAGTTAGGCTTTGTGGATATTAAGAATTTAAAAAACGTGAATTCTTATATAAATTCCAGACGGGACTTAGTTTAACGAAGAAGACAGAGAAAACAATGATGGAGAAGAAAGATGATCAAAAAACATAATTCCATGCTAATCTCGCATGATCAAAAAACAACAATTTTTAGATACAACAAATATTTTGGAATTTTCTTATTTAAAAATATTTGCTGAAAGATTTACTGGAACACTCTCACCCACAATTGCACCAGTAGGCTTGCCCAAATGTTCAATCCAATGCACATGTTATAATATATATTTACATACATAATTTTGCCCCAATTTTTTTTTTCTAATAAACAATTGTTATATATGTGAGCTCTGAGTACTATAAATACTCTCAAGTGTTAGCCAAAAGTACAGAGAGCAAAACCTCTTCTCCTCTTTAATAACTTGTAGAAACAAACACAAATAAAAGTTTAATTAGTTTTAAGCCCAACAAAAATGGGTAGTGCTAAATCAGCCATGCTAGTCCTCTTACTAGCAATGGTCATCTCATCTTGTGCCACGGCCATGGACATGTCCGTTGTTTCCTCCAACGATAACCACCACGTGACCACTGGTCCCGGCCGTCGCCAGGGTGTTTTCGACGCTGAAGCCACCTTGATGTTCGAGTCATGGATGGTTAAACATGGGAAAGTGTACGAGTCCGTTGCCGAGAAGGAGCGGCGTTTAACTATTTACGAGGACAACCTCCGTTTTATCACTAACCGGAACGCTGAGAATCTTAGTTATCGGCTTGGTTTGAACCGGTTTGCGGATCTATCTCTCCATGAGTACGCACAACTTTGCCATGGGGCTGATTCAAGACCTCCTAGGAACCACGTCTTCATGACTAGCAGCAACCGATACAAAACTAGTGATGGTGATGTTCTTCCTAAGTCCGTTGACTGGAGAAACGAAGGTGCAGTGACTGAAGTCAAAGATCAAGGCCAATGCAGTAAGTGTAGTGATTTTAAATCCTATCCCTAATTTATACATATATATATATATATATATATATATATACTAGAAAGCTGCCCACGCGATGCGTGGGTTATATATTTAATATTAATTCTGAATACTAATGAAATTTGTATTAAAGTAATACGTTCGATTATTAATATAGTTTTTTGAAATTTTTTTTTAAAATATTAACTTTTATGTTCCTTTTCGAAGTACTTTTGTGAATTGCTAAAAAATAAATTCTGCTCTTTTTTATTCAAGATGGTATGACATAAATATATACCACTACTTTTTCTTAATTTACATAAAATATTTTACTGTGGAAATATATATCATACCTCCTCGTACAGTCTCTTGTTTGTTGATTCATGATCCTTGGATCGGGAAAACGGTCAAAATCAACTCCAACTATTTCTATGCGGCTTTTTTCATCCCAAACTCTGACCCCTGCACTTATCAACCCGAACTCATACAATTTTCAAAAAACAAACCTAAACTATCTAACCGTTATCCAATTTCAACACAATTTTTTTTTTTTTTTTTTATTTGTTAATGTCGATTAGAATTGTTAAGTCGTAATTATCTGTTCTTTTGTATCTGAATCATTCCTTTTATTCAATTGGCTAAAGGTTAAATAATTCAGGTTTGTTACATTATTTAATAACAGGTATATGTTAAAATTGGCTAATGATTACATAGTTCAGGTATGTTATTTGAAATTTATGTGGGTTCGAGTTGATAATTGGGGTTGATATTGGCCGTTTTCCCTCGTTGGATCTCATCAGAAGGTAGATCTTCCTGATCTCATGATTTTCCCTCGACAATAAGCTTTAGATATTATATCCATATAATCCATAATAAAATTAGGAGATCAAATGTAAAACATAATCATATTTATTATTTTTTTGCTAAATTTTATCTATATATGTTAAAAATTAAAGAAAAATTTAAATAATTTGTGATAATGATTAAATTTAATAAAATAGCAACGTGGTCCAAATGAGCAAAAACATATTTTATATAGTTAATCTGGGTTTTTCACATCTCTCTCTCGCTTCCGACTCAGCACAGCTAGTCAAAGCTTTAAAATCAGAGCTTCAACACAAGGAGCTTCATGGGATTCTTTTCGATATCCTGAATTTATCTTCTACCTTTGATGTTATTTTGTTTAGTTTCATTCCCCGTTTGCAGAACTCAGATGCCGATTCATTGTCAAAACAGTCTCTGGTTTCTCTTGTAATGGGTCTGGCCCAAATCTAAGTTAAATTGAATCAGCCTATGCACAAAAAACAAATATATATGTTACACTTAATTATAATCATATTTAATTTAGGAAAATGACTTCAGATGATATAATAAAAAATTTATCTTTGAAAGTTTATATCAAAAAAATTTAGTTCAGTTTTGATATATATATAAATTCAATTCTTTGAAAAACAAAATGCCATTTTATAAACTTTGTATATATATATAGGTCATAAGAGTACAAAAATTTAATAAATATAATGTAATGCCGTTTATCTAAATACTTTAATGGCATGTTAGGTTTTAACTGAATTAGTCAATTATGATATTCTATGCAATTACCCTTAGCAAACATAATTCTTTTCAAAAATCCCATGAGGATAGATTAAAAGAAAATCTTTGGTGGAACTTTTTAAATTTTTTGGTTGAATTTCATTGGGTTGGTTTTATGGAAACTTTGATAAAAATAAATACAAATGTTATATTCTTTCATATGATCTTTATTTCTTACTTAATTTGTATGATTGACTAAAAAAAATTGAATTCAAAACATAATCAAGTCAAATGTTATACAATATTAAAAATAAAATAAAAAATATTTACTCAAGCTATATGAAACTCAAACGTCGTTCCCTCTCAAACGTTGAGTAATTATGTAAAAGAAATAAAGAATGGCATAAACTATCAAATAAAGAATGACTCATGATCCCATGAGTTTTACGTATTCAAGAACAAAATCATCTTGAAACAGCTTTACGTATTCATAAATTTGAAAAGAAACTCTTAACTTTTTGATAAGTGATGTTGAGAATAATTACATAAATGGTTTTTCAATTTATATCATAACTTTTTTTAACAAACTTATGGCTTTCAAATTTATGAATACATATAGATCATAAGAGTAAAAATTTAATAAATATAATGTAATGCCATTTATCTAAATACTTAAATTTATAATTACACTTTAACTGACCATAATAATAGATATAAATTTTCTCAATGTATGTATATAAATCTTATTGGTGAGTTGAAAAATAGAGAAACAATTAAAAATAGAACTTTAAAAAAATAGAACACCTTTATGTAGAACTAATGGTGTTGGTGAACCTAACTTGAACACCATATGAAATCACAAACCTAATTTGAACACCAAATGAGAAAACTTTTGTAGATATTTTTACTATGTGGACTATAGCCTGAAATAAAGAGAAAGCAACTAAAAGTCAATAAAAAATAAAAGAATGGACTGGAAAAAGCAAAAACTCTACAATAGTGTTTTTAGCTTCACGTGTGGGTAATATATAGAAGTAGATTAATTGGAGTCAATATTTAGAGTATTAATTTACACTTTAAAATTAATTAGATTTAATGTTTTGAATTAATTGTAGTTATTGTGGTTATCTGTTAGCCTAATGCATCAATTTAGAGTTATTTGAGGTTACATATGTTTTAATAAGTTCATTTGTGGGTTTTACTCTGGGTAACTAATTTCAGAACAAAAAAAAAACACTAATATATTTCGGTATTAGAAGCCACATGAAAAGCGTTACTGGAGATGAAAACTCGTCGCAAACATTTATTTTGAGAGAAGCGTAACACATGGAACAATACATTAATATAATTAATGCATGTTACTATATTTCTTTATTAAAATTACATTGACGGTTACATGAGTTAGAATTTCATTCACTGAGACATTTATAAAACAATATACAGTAAAACCTCTATAAATTAATAATGTTGGGACCAACTTGGAAAAAAATTATTATCTTATTAATTTATCGATTTATGTCATATTTTACATTGGTCCTAACTCGGAACCGAAAGAATTTATTAATTTAGAGAAGTTTATAATTTATAGAGTATTAATTTATAGAGGTTTTACTGTATGGGATGACATATTAAATTTAATAATTCCTGTAAATTATATTATACTATATAAATACATTAAATGTATTGTGTAATAAAAATTGTAAATAAATACTCCAACTTGGAGTTGTAAAATGTGAGAATAAAGTGGTGTTATAAATTTTTTTTATTAAAAAAGTTAGATTGGAAAGAAGAAAAAAAAGAGACAAATTAGAAAAGATTAGAAATGTATATTATGGAGATATGAAAATATTATGTAAGATAAAAAAAATGAGGAAAACAATTAAATTTAAAAATAGATGCCAAATGTACTAATATTATGAGAAGTTTTAAAAATGTACTAATATTTTGTGAAGTTAAAATTTAACTGATCCATAATTTTGAATCAGATGAATAAGTGGTGATTAAGTAGATAATAATTTTGGCAAAACAAATTAGACACAAATTTCAATTTAAATACATGTCAAATGTATCAATAGGGTAAGAGAAATATCTTTTTGGAATTAAATTGTAGGTACAAACTTTCAAAACTAAGGATTTTAAATAAATTAAAACAAACATTAATGAAATGAAAGAGGACACATGTCACCAAAAGAGAGTGCCAAATGTCGCAATGGTAGGAAAAGTTAGAAGAAAACCTTCTCATATTATATAAGATATTATTAAGTAAAATAATAGAACTATTAAAATTTGGAAATTAGTTAAAATTATAACTTAAAAACACTTTTGTTTAAACTTAACCAATATCATATCCTACTTTTTAAAAAGTGTTTTTAAGTTATAATTTTAACTAATTTCCAAATTTTAATAGTTCTATTATTTTACTTAATAATATCTTATATAATATGAGAAGGTTTTCTTCTAACTTTTCCTACCATTGCGATATTTGGCACTCTCTTTTGGTGACATGTGTCCTCTTTCATTTCATTAATGTTTGTTTTAATTTATTTAAAATCCTTAGTTTTGAAAGTTTGTACCTACAATTTAATTCCAAAAAGATATTTCTCTTACCCTATTGATACATTTGACATGTATTTAAATTGAAATTTGTGTCTAATTTGTTTTGCCAAAATTATTATCTACTTAATCACCACTTATTCATCTGATTCAAAATTATGGATCAGTTAAATTTTAACTTCACAAAATATTAGTACATTTTTAAAACTTCTCATAATATTAGTACATTTGGCATCTATTTTTAAATTTAATTGTTTTCCTCATTTTTTTTATCTTACATAATATTTTCATATCTCCATAATATACATTTCTAATCTTTTCTAATTTGTCTCTTTTTTTTCTTCTTTCCAATCTAACTTTTTTAATAAAAAAAATTTATAACACCACTTTATTCTCACATTTTACAACTCCAAGTTGGAGTATTTATTTACAATTTTTATTACACAATACATTTAATGTATTTATATAGTATAATATAATTTACATGAATTATTAAATTTAATATGTCATCCCATACAGTAAAACCTCTATAAATTAATACTCTATAAATTATAAACTTCTCTAAATTAATAAATTCTTTCGGTTCCGAGTTAGGACCAATGTAAAATATGACATAAATCGATAAATTAATAAGATAATAATTTTTTTCCAAGTTGGTCCCAACATTATTAATTTATAGAGGTTTTACTGTATATTGTTTTATAAATGTCTCAGTGAATGAAATTCTAACTCATGTAACCGTCAATGTAATTTTAATAAAGAAATATAGTAACATGCATTAATTATATTAATGTATTGTTCCATGTGTTACGCTTCTCTCAAAATAAATGTTTGCGACGAGTTTTCATCTCCAGTAACGCTTTTCATGTGGCTTCTAATACCGAAATATATTAGTGTTTTTTTTTTGTTCTGAAATTAGTTACCCAGAGTAAAACCCACAAATGAACTTATTAAAACATATGTAACCTCAAATAACTCTAAATTGATGCATTAGGCTAACAGATAACCACAATAACTACAATTAATTCAAAACATTAAATCTAATTAATTTTAAAGTGTAAATTAATACTCTAAATATTGACTCCAATTAATCTACTTCTATATATTACCCACACGTGAAGCTAAAAACACTATTGTAGAGTTTTTGTTTTTTCCAGTCCATTCTTTTATTTTTTATTGACTTTTAGTTGCTTTCTCTTTATTTCAGGCTATAGTCCACATAGTAAAAATATCTACAAAAGTTTTCTCATTTGGTGTTCAAATTAGGTTTGTGATTTCATATGGTGTTCAAGTTAGGTTCACCAACACCATTAGTTCTACATAAAGGTGTTCTATTTTTTTAAAGTTCTATTTTTAATTGTTTCTCTATTTTTCAACTCACCAATAAGATTTATATACATACATTGAGAAAATTTATATCTATTATTATGGTCAGTTAAAGTGTAATTATAAATTTAAGTATTTAGATAAATGGCATTACATTATATTTATTAAATTTTTACTCTTATGATCTATATGTATTCATAAATTTGAAAGCCATAAGTTTGTTAAAAAAAGTTATGATATAAATTGAAAAACCATTTATGTAATTATTCTCAACATCACTTA